CTCAAACAGAAACAAAAAAGTAAATTTGCAAGATGTGATTGAATACAGGAGTTATTTTGAACATTTTAAATGTGATATCAATATTAGGATTCCATTCATTCTTTCACAATTAATTCATTAACACAGACACCAGTTCCAATTAGGAAAGGTTCAGCTGAGGGTAAGCTTTTCCAATGCTGTTCTAAATCACTCGCTTATCAATTTATTTACCCTATACTACCCCACTGGTAGTAAGGGCCATTGCTAATCCATGATGGAACAGCCGAGTTTAACTCTGTAGAAATAGGCAGAAAAGCACATAATAATAATAATTCCTCAACCAGGGGTTAGGATGATCTCATCAAAGGAATTTGTTGTGTATACATGGTTAAGTAACCACCAGGGGGCGATCTCCTGTCCACTATAATTAAGGCTGGTTGAACCCACTCCATGTGATAGGCACAAAATTATTAAAATAACTTCAGACCCCAACATCAACATTCTTTGGGTTAATTTGTGATCCCCCTCGCCTCAGGCTGTGCACCCTTGAGTGAAGTCAGCTGTTATAAGATGCTCTAATACAAGAGATCCTCCAGGGCCAGTGGACCCCTTATCTCCCATCTATTGCGTAATATCCCAGCCCCAAACCAGATATCAGCAGCTATGGAAGAGTAGTACTGCTTCCTCCTTGCCCGCCCAGTTGCTTGGTGATGAAAACTTTAATGGGCTTACAATGAACCTTGATTTGCTAGACTGGGGCTCGTTAACCTGGAGAGATGGGGGCAGATTACAGCATCCTTAGGTCAGGTTGCACCATTTAATTGAAGGTGTGTGCTGATAGGGGCCATGGCTTTGATGTCCCACTTCCTCGGCTGATCTGCTTGGTGATAACGGGATGTTATGAGGGAGATGGAATGCTTCTAATGACGCCTGCCTCATTCTCCAGGGACAAGGTGTTACTAGTGGTCGGGTGGCCAAGATGATGATTATTTTTGAAATTTAGTTAATAGACTTAAGATTATTTTGATGATGTTTGGACAGCAGATCTTCTGGAGGTTATTTAATTGACGAGACCTTGAGGGAAACTATTAACAGATGATTATGTTGAAATTTCAGTAAACGGGATTAAAATCTCTTTTGTAGCCTTTGAGACAGTTTTTTTTTCTTGAGTATTTTAATCTGGCACACAATTTATACTTAAAAGTTCAGATGTTTTTTACCACTAAATGTGTGTAGATCATTATTTGTCTACTTGCTGTGATGTACATTGTGGCTGGTTTAATCTTGATTTTGTTGATATGGTTAACCAGACGGAGTTTATCATAATCTCTGGACTTATGAATTACTCAATATTTTTTAAGTAAGACATGCAAAAAAAAAAAAAAGATTTTATTACATGAATTTTTTGTAAGCAAAAGCACCACAGAAATGGTCAGCAAAAAATAATGAAATTAAAAGAAATAATGAGTAAGTAAATTAACTAATTAACAAACATAGCAGTAATGCCAATGACACATGAAATAAAGATATTGGAAATAAATTGAAGAGAAAAAAATAAGAAACAGATCTTAGAAGTTTAAAATATGCAAGACAATTATGTAAGTAAGTGTAAAAAAAACTTATGTTTAAAATATTCTCAAAAACCAGTATGTGACTCTGATTGAAACTGTAGGTAAGAGAGATAAATATGAATACACCACAACTTATTAAAAAAAGAAAAAAAACTTGTGCATACATCAAAAATATTCTCAGAAACCAGCATGTGAATTTAATTGATACTGTTGGAGGTAGGTGAGAGAGAGATGAATATGTGTGAATGTGTTATGTTGTTAGCCATAGTAGGACACCAATGTGATCCATCAGATGGCTGTCATGTTCACTGTTGTCCCCCTTTCAATCTAACTCCTTCATATATATAAAGTGCTTTGGGGAATTGTCATGAGGAAGGCTTGATGGCCAGTTCCCTTTACAGCTTATGTCTAGAACTGATATTCTTTTCTCTTGCTCTGGAGATATTTTAATTAAAATTTGATTGTATGTTCTCTTTTCTGTTGTAAAGTTATTTTTCTATTTTGATTTTTATTTAAATATATAATTATGATTTTTTATGACAGATTGCCATACCTAAGCATGTATTTATTTATTTATTTATTTATTTATTTATTTATTTATTTATTTATTTATTAGTGGTGCATTCAGCAAATTTCACACAGCACTTAAGAATGTAAAAATATTAAGAATACTGAAAATTCCATAAAACTCCAATATTTTACACCCCTCAACATTTTTATCATTAATTCATTGGGATATTTGTTTTTCCATAAAACTTTCTTATGTCATTTGTGTAAATGTGAACATTATACGATGCTAGAAATGGCCCTGTGCCTATAGAATTTTGACATGGACATATTTTCTGTATCTCACATGATAAATCTGGCATCAACCTTTGGACAAGTTGTTCTTTAAGCCATTGCCGCGAGTTGACCTTTTGTGTGCCTAATGAATAGTTAGGGTCTACTGCCTTTCCATCTGTTTGATTCATATAGAATAAACAAAATGTGGAATTGTTAATAGGTGATAAGTTAAAGCTAGGGTGCACTTTTTTGTATTTTAATTAATATAAATTTTAATTTAAAGCTAGGGTGCACTTTTCTTTGCATTTTAATTAATATACATTTTAGTTGTGTTTAGATGGAAAAAGGTAGGTGCAAGTTAATAATTTGCAAGTGATAAATGTATATGAATTTTTATGCTCAATCTTTTAAAATTATTTTTTATCAGTCATTTGAATATTTGTTTCAGTACCAATTTCTATGAAATAACTGCTATAACTCAATTATACATTATCTGGAAAAATTTCAACATTACAAAAAAACTTCCATTTTCTAAATAAGCAATTCCCTATTATATTTTTATGTGAAGAAAAATAATTGGACCAATGATTTTGCTTTTAACTTTTGAACATTTTTTTTCATCTGGCTGGTAGCTAGATCAATGGCTAAGCAACATGACTTTATGTTTTTACATGTCATTTTTATCAACAATCTTTAAAAGCTTTTAAGAGGCAAAAAAGTCCCATTAAAAGAAATCAGAATTCCTTTGTGCTGCTTGAAATATCCTGCAAGGAAACAATAGAACTCTATCTAGCAGCAGATTACTTCCTTCATTCTTCCCCTGTTGTACTTATATGACTTCCTCTGGTAGTTCCAAAGCTACTTTGAATTGTATATTTAAACATTAACATAAGCACCACTCACAATAAAAAAATGTGTATCTGCAGCAAGTTAGTATTGTATTTAATCCAATTCAATGGTTTAATTAACTTGACTTTTCTCACTTTTGTTTGCATTTTACAACTTTGATTTGAAAGCTGTCTCAGTCTGAATTGGAATTTAAATTTTGGTAATTTCAAAACAAGTTGATTTGGTCTGGTTCAGGTCATGTTTATTGTTTTAATTTTGGTGATTTGTATACACAAAGCCAGTCTGTCTTAAACCCCTTGTGTTCTATGCAAATAGCAATTTATACTAAAACATTATGTCAGAATGTCATAACATTGAATAAAATTACAACAGTAGCTGTAAAACAGTCTCACTCCAACCACCAATAGGAACTGAGCGGAAACTTTTCTGCATTTGTCGAAGTAAACACAGGCATTGGAAAAAGCGTGTGAGGCTTTATTTCTCAAATAGAGAAATGACTACAATTTCATGCTCATTCTTCGGTGTGATGGCGGAAGTAACTTAAGCTTAGAACCCCAGTCTGATTATGTTGTCCCTTGTGGCTAGAACAATACTGTGGCATCATCAGGGCTGATTAGGGGAACATGTAACACCTGCAGTTTCTGTCTGCTTGACAACCTGTTTTTGTTGCCCGAGAGCCAGTGATTGTCTCCCAGTTTTAGCGGGACGTGAACCGCGGAGTGTTTTACTGAATGACAGAAGGCAAATCTCAGCCAAAATATCTTGTTCTAGGTTTCTTGACTGATATTTTCTCGGCTGTTCTTCCATGTCTGCCTCTGGTGCAACCAGAGGACATAAGTTCATAATTTTCCTTTCTTAACCCAGTCAAGATGATTGATAACTGAATGGGGTGAATTATGTACTACTGATAGTTAGGGTGTCTTAGGTTGTATATCTTATTGAAAAGTTGTTGGGCATTTCATTTTGTGTTAGCTACACCACATCTGCAGAGCCATATGCTCTTGTTTTCAAATTGGGGAAAGGGGGGAAAAATAGTACTGACCAGCATTTCGCCACAAGGTAAAAACCATATTTCTACAATAAGGTGAGTTAAAGTTGACTTTTTTTGTTCAGATTTTTGACCTGAGGGGCTTAAAATTTTGTATTGACTCAAAACCCAAAATTGGACAGATTCTGAAAATAGTATAAATATGTATGTGTTTAGAGAGCGAGACGCTAAGATGAACTCAGTGGAAAAAGTCAACAATGATTGAGCTCCACCCCTCTCTATCTCTTGACGCACTACTGCCGCTATGTTTGCAAATATTGACTAAATGATAAAGTTTCGGTTGGGGGGAGAATTTAACCCTTTGTTTCTACAAACATGAAAAACTGTTAAATATGGAAAAGGTAACAGCAGAATATGATTAAACTTTTACTGAAAGTATTTGTAATTTTTATTAGAGAGGGATTATCTGAAAAATAAGATGCCAGTTTTGATAAAACCCGGTTATGCAAACAAGTAACCAGCAACTAAGCTGAAAACATTTCTTTAATTTGTGGTTGGAATTAATGATGTTTTGACAACCCAAAAAAGTAGATAAATTTTTTGCATCGATCTTATTTTACATCTTTGCTAAAAGGATAATAGTGGGATAAACAACTCTAAAATTCATGATATTTGTAATGTTATCCCTTTTGTGAATTTTTTCATTAAAAATGTCACATTTTATGAATGAATAACACTATAGAAAACAAAAGTCAAATTTCATTATTTCCAAAAGAAGTTATTTCTAACATTTTCTTCATGATTTTCTCACAAAATCTGCCATATTTCAGAGGCCGCCGTCTCAAGGACTTACGTTTCCCCAAGCAGACGATGCTCAGTCCACAAACTCTGCAGACACGCCGGGACCCCCAGGCTCCAATCTCAACTCACAAAACCTGGACAACAGTAGCGAAGCAGGTAAGAAACCTTACACACTTGCACACTCATAATTTTATGCAAAGACATGAACATCAAGTAGAAATGATTCCACCCTGCTCCTGAAATCTGCAATATGTAGTCAACAAAGATGAGTATTTTTTGTTATGAACTGGTCAGTTTTGATTAAACCTTTGATTTGTTATTATAGCAAGGGTCTGCTGTATTCCATGAATTTAGGTTTAAATACTTTATGGCAAAAATTAATGATAGGATTTGTAGCAAAAATAAATAAATAAATAAATCAGGTTAATTAGGTATGAATTAAAAAGTAAACTATATTTAGCAAAAAATTTTGATATTAAACTGAAGACTGCAAATAAGTGAATTTCACTCTTCCCAGTTGAATTTTTAATAAGTGTATGCTGTAGTAAAGCAGTCAACAGGTAATTTTTTTTTCATTTTTCACTTCTGTAAATTTAAGTTTGTCGTGAGAAACAGTTATTTGGTGCTACCCAACCCCAAATCAAAGATGATTATCATGCCATTGACACAAGCTGGGGGAATGTCGCGGTGATGAACTGAGAGAGAGAGAACCCATGACAGTGATAGGGCTTACAGACCACATCACAGGGAACAGGGTAGTTTACACAGGGAACAGGTATTCCCCTGTCACCCCCCACCCCCCCCCACACACACACACACACACTCCTCTCTCTAATGTGAAAGTGTATNATACACACATACACACTCATAATTTTATGCAAAGACATGAACATCAAGTAGAAATGATTCCACCTTGCTCCTGAAATCTGCAATATGTAGTCAACAAAGATGAGTATTTTTTGTTATGAACTGGTCAGTTTTGATTGAACCTTTGATTTGTTATTATAACAAGGGTCTGCTGTATTCCATGAATTTAGGTTTAAATACTTTATGGCAAAAATTAATGATAGGATTTGTAGCAATTATAAATAAATAAATAAATCAGGTTAATTAGGTATGAATTAAAAAGTAAACTATATTTAGCAAAAATTTTGATATTAAACTGAAGACTGCAAATAAGTGAATTTTACTCTTCCCAGTTGAATTTTTAATAAGTGTATGCTGTAGTAAAGCAGTCAACAGGTAATTTTTTTTTCATTTTTCACTTCTGTAAATTTAAGTTTGTCGTGAGAAACAGTTATTTGGTACTACCCAACCCCAAATCAAAGATGATTATCATGCCATTGACACAAGCTGGGGGAATGTCGCGGTGATGAACTGAGAGAGAGAGAACCCATGACAGTGATAGGGCTTACAGACCGCATCACAGGGAACAGGGTAGTTTACACAGGGAACAGGTATTCCCCTGTCCCCCCCCCCCCCCCCCCCCACACACACACACACACACACACACACTCCTCTCTCTAATGTGAAAGTGTATGACACACAGGTTCACAGACAGTGATTATAGATATATTGGCTTGATATGAAAACATATTTATTTATAAACCTAGAATCAAATCTTCAGGTGGTGAAAAATAATTTAAATGTAAATATGAAATGGAAGTGACTGTCATTAAAGTTTAGAAAAAAATTCAATTTGGGAGGTTATCTTATTAAATGGGTTGCAGGGTACTTAGCAATATGCTTAAGAATGCAAGGAAATTTTATCTCAAAATTAAAATCTCAAGTAGATATGAAAGAGGAAGAAGTGATAGTCTGTAAATGATAAGTTTGAGTGTCCCCCACAAGTGAGAATACACGGGCAATGTGTCACAGTAAACTATGGACATCCCACACCAGTGAACAGCCCCTCTTCTGAAAATCTAATTCTCTTTTATCAAAGGTGACGTGAACAAGCACTTGCTTTTCAAAGACCCATCTGAAATGCATTTTTATTCATTGTAAAGCATATGTGACAATGTATTACAAAGTACACATATTGACTTTGGATGAAGTAGCTATCTACTGCGGAATGGTACCCTGTCGCCATGATTAATGTGGAAAACCGGCCTGACTTAGATCAAAGAGAACAGGACCGAAGCATTCTTTCCAAGCCAGGAACCAAAACTTGAAATGGACTGCAGATAAGAAAGTGTGAAAAGAAAAACGATTTTGCAAAACTGATTAGAAGTTTTATGCGCAGTTTACTTATGATAATGATAAAAAGGTCGGGTGAGAAAGAGGAAACAAGCATGGTGTGAAAGAAATGTTCCATACTACATTTTCTCAACAGCTTAGATTTGTCTGGATTGACAACTCTTCTGTGTTTATAAAACTGCCTCACCCTACCCTTGAAACACTTTTACATATTTCTAAAAAATAATTTTCTAACAAAATTACTTAATTTAATTTCTTTTAAAAAATTCATCCTGGGGAATTTTTAAAGAAAAAAATTTGTAAGATTTATGCAGAAATATTAATTGTAACACTCTGTTACTGGAAATAGGACAGATGAATTGAGTTGTAGATTTTTACAGTGACATATACAATATGTTGTTTCAATACTATAATATCTCGCAGCCTCTTCACACCTGGATTGCAGCACGTTGTCGATGATAAATAGGCAACAGTTTGTGCCACAATTACAGCCAAAGGCGCGAAAAATTGCTATCTCGATACCTTACTTCACATGTTTGTGGAATGTTCCTAGGATATAGAAATGAAGTATGGGGCAGATTTTCCATTGGACCAGATGTTAATTTGAGGGACACATTTGCTACAAAGGTAACCTGACAAATTGCTCCATTGAAATATAAAATACTGGACCTAATTAAACACCTGTTCCCCCTCTAAAACACCATCTATTATTGAAGATGATGGAGGGAGGTGGCCCTAACACATTGCACTTCCATGGTAACACCCAAAAACATGGGAGGTCTGCCAGAAAAGTTTTTTCCCCTCTCTCTTTTTCATGTAGAGCAGGTTTATTCAAAACCATATTTATTCAGATATTTTGTTCAGCAGAATAGCGCTGTGTTTATGTTTTGATTCAAAGCTGTGTCATTTTAAGTTTTTATAGCAAAGTTAAAATCTTGATGGAAATGAAATGAAACTTGTGCTATGTTTGAATGTTTTTATCCAGAGATTTGTCAGACATATTGGTAGTTAACTGGCTGTGTGGCAGTTCACTTCATTCTGATATTTAGGTACTTATCATTTCTTGGGCTGACAGATTTTTTAGTTATTCTTTTTGAGGAAGTACACAAAACAAGAAACGGCACATTTATCTCATCACAGTAATTTAACTGAAGCTGAAGAATTTTTCAGTAGGTTGATCAAATTTTTTTGAAAGGTCAGGTTCCAGTAAGAAAGAGGTACAACTTTTGTGGCAGCCATTATTTATCACCAACAGGTGGATACCATGCACATACAACTTGTCTGCTTTGTGCATTTTTATTTTTCCATGTATTGAAAAAATATAAATTGATCGATCAAGACGTGTGTTTTGGCAATTTACAGTTGCGCTTAAGGTAATGTGATTGATTGGGATTCATGGACTAGCAGTTACCATAGTTTCAGTCAAGCTCGAACTTCTTATCGCTTTATTTTATGGAGTGCTTTGCTAATGCAAACTTTTGTTAATAATTTTTGATGGGGCAACTAGGAACGAACTCCTGTAGTTTTAGGTAAAAGGATACCCAGTTATCATTTTAAAATCTTGAGAAGTAATACCTGACAATTTGCATGACTTTGCTCCATAAAGTTGAGCCTATATACAAATCCTTTATAGTGCATTGCACTGACTAAAAATATAACAGCACTTTTTTCTCACGAAAGAAAAAAACACTACCTAATAAATATGAAAGTTAGGTTTAAAAAAACTAACATGGTGTAATTTCTTTATTTGTGTAGAAAGTAAAGTATTAAAAATAGTAAAAGTTCAGTTGAGATCACAATTTGGACAAATTTATTTCACCCAAACCAAATTTCTAAATTTCACATCTAACCTGTAAAGAATACTGTCTCCTAAAAAACCATCGGAGCAGATATCCGCTTGGCTTTGTGTGCAAGGAAATTCTTGGAACAGAGAAAATTCTCAATATTCTTGCTGCAGCAGATGCAAACAGAAGTGGAAATACCTGGGAAGAGGTTCAGATCGCAGACCGGGATAAGGAGGATGAAATTACAAGTTAATGAGATTGTTTGGGGTTTGCCAGTTGTTCTCTACTAAGCTTGGACAAAATAGGAAGCCGTACACAGTGTTACAAAGTGCAAACTGGCCAAGGACTTGGGAGGGGGGGGGATATTAACTGAACTAATGCTTGTCATAGAATTAGAATTTTAAATTTTGCTAGGAACAAAGGTTGGGGACAGTCAACTTTGTTTCATGGACCTTTAGTTTTAAACGACGTAAATTATGTTTGTGTCTCTCGCCAGAGACATCCTTGACTTCTCTTTAAAAAGCAGACAAAAAAGTATATATTTTTGGTAACTACAATTTACAAATATCATTATTCTTGAAGATGATCGATATGGCTCTTCACTTTATACAGAAAAGCTTCTTTGATGGTCTCTGTTGAAACTGTAGGCTAAAACAAAACAATTCCGTTTACTAGAGTTTAATGATGCTTTAGATGATGATAAATTTCACTTTACCATCTCCAAGTTACAATAGGTGTGCAGTTATACCTTCAAATGATGATGATAAATTTCTCCTGGTAGACCTGTTGCAGTGAGTGCCCTCTAGTGTCAAAATTGTCTGTGTCTGCCTCTCTTGTCATGACCCCTCGTACTTACCATGTTCTGAGAGTAAATAGATAGGACATTGCTGCTCATTTCATGGGGCAATCCATGGAGATTACTAGTTGATGGAATTTGCAAGTCAAGTGCAAAAATATCTCTTAGAAAAATATCATATTTATATGCGCAATTGTGGCGACAGATCACATTGCTCATTACTAAGAGACTAAGGCCTTCTGCAGGGGATAAAAAAAATTAATAACCTCTAAGACACAATTTCTGTCGCTTTCATTTCTAAAGTTCATACTCATACTCTTGACATTCAAGTGGCAATTTTTATGATGAAATTGTGTATCTTTAAAAGTGATCTTTTT